CCGTGAGGCGCGCAGGGGCCGGGGAAGGACGGACTGGGCACTGGAGGGGGCGGTGGGGGGGTGAGCGGTGGGTGTGAGGGGAAAGGAGGTCACCTCTGCCTCGGCGAGGCCGGGCGCGTGTTTGTGAAGGCCTTCTGCGGGAGCTGGGTGGTTACACACGCATCTGCGCTTGTTGCGTTTCCAGTCCCTGGGTTTCCACAGAAGAGCCTTTAAATGAGGTGCAGATGTACGCTAAAGGCAGAGAAAACAAACTGCGAAGAAAGGGCGTTGTGGCTGAATTACATCTTAATTTTTCTAACTCGCTGTCTGAGGGTGCTGAAGTCCAAAAATCTTTTAGGTGCTTTTTATCAGATGGAGGATGGAATGTTGCATTCCCAATGGCTGAAGAAGGTCAAGTGGCTGATGCTGAAGATGTAACAAAAACCTGAGCTTTAAATCAGGCAGAGCCAAGAGCTCCTTTTACCTAGGTTGCCTGTCCCCTAAGCAACAGGAGCGAACAGTGACCTGTCCGACAGGCCAATACTGCTGACCTATCTGTGGAGGCTAAAGGCAGCTTTGCATCCAGTACAGAGGTCTGCGTACAGTGGTGGTCGGGGCCGGTAACAGCTGTGAATCCTGCCCTAGACCCTGCCAGCAGTTGAGCTATAATTAAAAAATCCCGTTGAGGGTTGGGTTGGGTTTTGGGTTTTTTTTTTAATGTTGCTGTATGTGGGCTGGTGTTGTAAACAGGCCTCTAGCTCTGGGTGGGGTCACAGTGAAGCCAGTGGAATTTTTTTATATTCATGAAACTTTCAGTAACGTGAAGAGACTGAGAGAGAAGCCGGGGTGGAGGGCAGATGGGGGAGCATGGAGTGAAAGCTCGGTTGGAGCCAGGGTTTATAACCGGGGCAAACACTTCCACAGAAGAGCAGGGAGTCCCTGGACCCCTTGTCCTTCTGCTGCCAGCAGGCAGCTGCAAAACCTGCCAGCAAAAAGTGACTCTCTTCTCTCCTGATTGGAGAAGGCACTACATGAACGACAACATCCCTGACTGTTCCGTTATTTACTCTGATTATCTTTTTACCTTCTGCCATATGTCCCTGAGTAATTTACACTTACTTAAAAAAAAAAAAAAGGCAAGAAACTCATTAGTCAGTGATTCTTTGAATTGTGGTTTAAATAAGCAATTCAGCATTATGAGATTTGTGATAAAGCAATGAGATTTGGCAACCCTGAGAAGAAGAAAAGTCTGCCAACAGGAGTTATTTGACATTCATTTACAATATACAACAACCCTCAACGTTCTGATTGTAGATAGTTTGGGAATTCTCTTTAAACTACAAAGCAGATAAAATCTCATCAAATAGTTCTGCCCTTTAAATAACTTTTGCATGGTTTTTGTTTGGTTTTTTTCCCCAGTATTTCCCTGATTTTCTTGAGGGAAAGATGTAATCAGTGATGCGATCTGTTTGTGCATCCACTTCACTGATTTGTTAGAGTGTCTGTATGGGTGCGTAAACAGAAAGAAGTAACAACTTTGGAAACAAAGCAATCCGTCCACTAAATCATTTTCTTCCTCACATTCTTTTGGACATCTGAATTATTTAGACCTGAAATACCTCTGATATATTTCAGGGCCATAATACTAGTTTCACTACAGTTAAAAAGCTTGTGGCGTTAATAGGACACCCAAACCTGACAGTCCAAGGAGTGAATGTCAGTTATAGGAGGTTCCTGTAGGCTGATCTTTCCCTCTAGTGTCCAGCAGCCTGTTCCCCCTCTCTCTTCTGACAGCAGTACTTCTCCCACTCGACCAGGCCAATACCACCAGTCTTTCACTGGAGCAGCTGCCTGTCTCTCATGCCTTCCCAAACTGCTGCCCTTCTTCCAGGCAACGTGGACATCTGGCTGCTTTCTACTGCCCGGTCCTTCCCCTCTCCTTGCCCTGGGGATGCAGCAGTGGCTGGGAAGTATGGGTTCGTAGGCTGAGAACTACTTGTGCTCCTGCCTCTATGTGGGAGGACAGAGCGGGACCAGAGGCATCAGGGAATACCTGCCTGTGCCAGGACACAGAAGGTCATTCTGACTATGTCAGGGGGTCATCTCCTTTGGGACAAAGGAAAAGAATGGGTAAAATGGGCTCGTGCCCCAAACTTGCCCCGTGGGCCCATTGCTTTAAGACTGAGTGGATGATTTGCTGAATAGACTTCTGAAACACTCGCCCATCCAAAACAACAGAGCCTCTGTTTCCCCAGTGTGCGTTCCTCTGTTTCCTCAGTTCTTCAGTGCTTTTGGCCTTCTTTCCCCTGAGTAAACTTTTTTCATAGTTGTGTTGGTTTTGAGCCAGATCTGCTTCTTCAAAGCTCATGCCCCTCCTGAATAACTAAGCGTTGTTCACGATTTTTTTCCAGTAGTCTGGGAACAGTTTAGGTTGTGCATCCATGAACGTATCTTTCCACCCACAGTGGGACTATTAAGACATTTCAGAGCTCTTTCATTTCAGATTGTCTTCCCAATAGCATACTGAGTGTATTATTAAGAACCTGTTAGCACAAGCAAAAATAGCTTCTTTTATCTGGTTCAGCTGAGTCTTGTCTCTTCCAGAACAGGCCTTTAAGTGATGATCAGCAGAGCAAACTGATTCCTGTAGACAGATCCATGAGCAGCTGAGCTGATCTAATAGTTTACCAACGCTGAGAAGCTGAGATGTTGCTGACTTCTCATCTCCAAACCCCGGATTTTCACCCTCCCTTAGCTCCTCCTTGGTGTTTGTCGTATGGTTCCATGAGCCACTTCAACTCAATAACAAGACTGAGGAATATTTATTTGGAGGTGGGGGTGTTCATTTCATTCTGGGTTAGTGAGTGAAACCTAACCTCATCGTATGGAACCATGCCTTCGGAGTGTGGGTTTATGTTACAACTAATTGAGTATGACTGTGGGCTAATGCTGAAAAGTGCAGTCTTCTCCATCTCTCTCCAGACATGTATTCTGTCTCGCTCCCTCTTAACCTGAGGCCCAGTGACTGTGAGACTGCAGAATGAGTCGGGTGAGCAAACGAGT